TGCTTCATCCCAAGTGGGACCCCTGCAGACCCCACAATGCGCAGCCCCTTGAACAATGCTGTGGAATGCAACTCCTAATTCCAGACTGCGAGCGTCTGTGCTTCACTAAGCAGTGGAAATCCACAATTCTTCCTGTTGGGAAGCCTTCAATACCAAGCCCTCCTGGACTCCCACTACTGTCATTCCCAGGAGGCTCTGCCTCCACATGGTGCCCAAGACTTCAGTGAATCAGGCACCAGGAGCTTTGATGATGAAATGGGACCCAGGGCTGAGCTGACAGGTCTAACCTGGCAGAAGTGCTGCTTTTCTGCATCTCAGGCTGTGGAGATGCAAGTTCTTTTATTTAGCATTAGCCAGCTAACACTGTTCAGTTCCTTTGTTAATGAGATACGCACTGGCCTAGACCCCTGGAGAGGTTACATAGCTCCCACGTGGTGGTGGCCTAGGGAAAGTGGATTTCTTGCAGCCTGTTTCCTGGCGCTGGAAAGCCTTGCCTCTCTGCTTTCCATGCTCATCTGGGAGCAGAATCTGACAGATCTGGGTGCAGTGACATGGCTCTTAGGGGCTCAGCTGACTTCTCCTGTCAAGTTATTACTGTAGCTCAGCCTGGCTGGTATGCAGGGGGAGACAGCCTGGCGGGATGACCACAGATGTATCTGTGCTGCCTCCCGCTGTCCAGCACTTCAAAAGACATTGTACTGCTGCTGTGGCTAGAAAAGCCTCAGCTGGTGGGCACCTCAGAGTCTGGGGAAGTGAGGATGATGCTTTCAATGGTGATAGCTACCAGATTTCCCAGAAGACAGCTCAGGCCTCAGCCCCTGGGCATTTCTCCAGAGGCTCACCACTTTAGAGCCCAGTAACACTGCTGTGATGGAGCATCTCTGCTGCTTGGCACCAACACGCCAACCTGCCAGAAGGCCTCAGTGGGTGTGCCAGTGTCTTTACTACATCGACACAACGCAAAAGCCCTGGACCACCTCATGTTCTCTGGTGTCCACAACTCAAAAAGGAGGCTACAAAATGGAGAAGTTCAGAACAGAGCTACAAAGATAATCTGAGGTCTGGAAAGCCGACCTAACAGTTGTCTAGTTTACTGAAGAAAAGGTTAGCAGATGACTTGATCACGGTCTACAAGTCCCTATGGATACATCTACCCTGCAACAAAAGACCCATGGGCACGGCTGCGGCTGGCCTGGGTCAACTGACTCGGGCTCTTGGGACTCAGGCTGCAGGGCTAAAAACTACAGTGCAGACAGGCTTGGGCTGGAGGCCGGGCTCCAAAATCCCATGAGATGATTGGGTCTCAGAGCCCAGGTGTCTACACTACTATTTTCAGCCCGAGTCAGTTGACCTGGGCTCTGAGACTCAGCGCTGCAGGTTTTTCAGTGCAGTGTAGATGGACCTGTGTAGGGAGAAGACTTTTGAGAGCAGCAGGTTCTTTAATCTAGCAGACAAAAAGGCAGAATAAGATTCTCCAGCTGGAAATGGAAATCACCAAATTTCAAACTGAAAATATGACAAGTGTTTTGAAACACCTCGGGTGCTGAGCCATTGGAACAACTCTCACAGGCTGGGCTGGGGTCTCCTGCACTTGGAGTCTTTAGAGCATGACTAAGTGATGGCCTTCTAAAAGATCTGCTCTAGCGCAACCGTATGGCCTGTGTTATTAGGTGGGCAGCCCAGAGGGTCCTAAATGCCTTAAAACGCTATGAGCCTACACTAGATCTTACACAGCCCTAGAGCTGTCGTGTTGCAAGCAGTCATAGCTATATCCTTCTGAAGTATGAGCGCCATTTTACATATGGAGAACTGGTCACAGAAATTACAAGACTTGCCCAGGGTCACGTAGGAAACCTTTGGCCAGCCACAAACCGAACCTGGATCTTCTGGGTCGCAGTCCAGTGCTTTAACCACAATGCCCTAGTGTCAATGCATCAAAGCTCCTTGCCTTCCCAAAGCCCCGAACCTTCACATACACATGCCTTCATTCTTTTGGGCTCAAGAGCTGTTGTGCAGTCCGACTGTAATGCCTTCGAGGGCAGGTGGACAGAAGAGCCATCTAGAGCCTGCCGCTGTCTTTCAGCAGGAAAGGGCCAAAAATGACCCTGAGATGCAGAAGTTGTACTCTCTAAAAGTGGGAGGAGCCCTGGCTCAAAAAGTCTGCCAGGCAGAGCACTTCCAGGTAGCTAGGGAGATAATACTTCAAATGCAACCCAAATCCCTCACAAAACAGGAAAAGTGTTAACATGATCCCCAACCAGCCAGGCACTGAGCCTGCCCAGAGTAGCTGTCCTCAGCCCAAGGCTGCCGGCTCGAATGAAGCTATTGGCCTGAGCCCTCACAAACCAAGGTGTTCTACCAAGGTCTATGAGAATTCTTTGAGGGGGTCAATAAACATGTGGACAAGGGGGATCCAGTGGATATAGTGTATTTAGATTTTCAGAAAGCCTTTGACAAGGTCCCTCACCAAAGGCTCTTAAGCAAGGTAAGCTGTCATGGAATAAGAGGGAAGGTTCCCGATTGGTAGCTGGTTAAAAGGTAGGAATAAATGGTCAGTTTTCAGAATGGAGAGAGGTAAATAGGGTGGTCCCCCAGGGATCTGTACTGAGCCTAGTCCTATTCAACATATTCATAAATGATCTGGAAAAAGGGGAAAACAGTGAGGTGGCAAAATTTGCAGCTGATACAAAACTACTCAAAATAGTTAAGTACCAGCCAGACTGCGAAGAGCTACAAAAGGATCTCTCAAAACTGGTGACTGGGCAACAAAATAGCAAAGTAATGCACATTGGAAAACAATCCCAATTATACGTATAAAACGATGGGGTCGAAATTAGCTGTTACCACTCAAGAAAGATCTTGGAGTCATTGTGGATAGTTCTCTGAAAATATCCACTCAATGTGCAGCGGCAGTCAAAAAAGCAAACAATGTTGGGAATCTTTAGGAAAGGGATAGATAAGATATAAAAATATCATACTGCCTCAATATAAAACTATGGTACGTCCACATCTTATTATTGCATGCCACATCTCAGGAAAAAAAAAGAAGATATTGGAATTGGAAAAGGTTCAAAAAAAAGGGCAATAAAAATGATTAGGGGTATGGAATGGCTGCCATATGAGGAGAGATTAATAAGACTGGGACTTTACTGCTTGGAAAAGAGATGACTAAGGGAGAATATGCTAGAGGTCTATAAAATCATGACTGAGGTGGAGAAAGTAAATAAGGAAGTGTTATTTACTCCTCATAACACAAGAACTAGGGGGTCACCAAATGAAATTAATAGGCAGCAGGTTTAAAAACAAACAAAAGGAAATATTTTTTCACACAATGCACAGTCAACCTGTGGAACTCTTTGCCAGAGGATGTTGTGAAGGCCAAGACTATAACAGGGTTCAAAAAGGAACTAGATAAATTCATGGAGAATAGGTCCGTCAATGGCTATTAGCCAGGATGGTCAGGGATGGTGTCCCTAGCCTCTGTTTACCAGAAGCTGGGAATGGGTGACAGGAGTTGGATCACTCAATGATTACCTGCTCTGTTCATTCGCTCTGGGGCACCTGGCACTGGCCACTGTCGGATGGACCTTTGGTCTGACCCAGTATGGCAGTTCTTATGTTCCAGGGCCACTCTGAGCTTTGAGAAGCTTCCTCTTCTGCAAGCCTATCCACCCCACACTTCACACAGCTCAGGGAAAGCTGCAGAGACTCAGCAGAAGCCACTTGCCAGCCCAGAGGCGAGAGACTCCACAGCTGCTAATAATTTACACTGTCATTAATGAATAAGGAGTACAGCTGTGCTGCCTAAAGAACTAAAGAATGCAAAGCCATGTGTGCAGCTCCTGGGGGGACTGACAGTCGTTCAGGGGGGAGGAGGGGAAGGCAGGGTAATTGGACACAACATGGAGAGGGTCAAGACTCCAAAGAGGCAGGAATGTTCCTGACTTTTCTCCAGCTGGAAGCTTGTGACCCAGCACGTGATTTGGCGCAGATGGCCTTTCCATTTCAACTGAAGAGGAAATCACACTGTTGGATCCAAGAGGGCAGTGCTGACTGAGCAACGCAGTGACCCCAACACCAGCATGCAGTGTGATTTGCGGTGTAGTCCCCAGAAGGAGGACTTGACTCCCACTTGTGCCTGATCCACTGGACCACACTGCTGCCTTCAGTGGGCAGTATATGGACATTGCTCAGCTGCTAACAAGCTTAATTTGATGAGGCACTAACAGAAGCCACTGTCAGACAGCTTCTCCCCTCCGCCCCCCACGGTGCTTCAAAAGCCCCGAGATTCATACTCAGGCCTTGTCTACACTTAAAATGCTGCAACCGCACAGCTGTAGTGCAGTAAAGACATTACCTAGGCCCCGATGGAAGGGCTTCTCCCACTGATGTAGGTAATCCACCTCTACGGGAGAGTGGGAGAATTCTCCCATCAACGACTGCGCCAGGGGTTAGTTTGGTTTAACTGTATTGCTCAGAGGCTGTGGATTTTTCACACCCGAGCGATGTACTTATACTGACCTAATTTACTAGTGTAGACCAAGCCTAAGTGGGAAACAAGGTAACCATATATATATATATATTTTTTTATATCTGCTTACCTAGAGCTCAAGGCTACCCAAAAGAGCTTTTCATAGTACCCATAACAGGCACATATTACTGGTTACCCTTCTTCTTTGGGTGGTCAAGTAAATGCCGGTTTTGTCTAAGTTAAGCAGAATCTGTGAGAAGTGCCTGCCTGCCCTTCTAGAGGGAGACCAACACTTTGTGGCCTCCAGCTAGGGAGACAGGCCACAGTCAGATCCTGTGCACAGGGTGAAGCATGGGCAAAGCTTGAAGCAGCTGTGCTGCAGAGGACTGGTGGCTGCCATCAGGCACAAAAGACCAACCCAGGGAGAATAAGTGAAGGAAGCCTGAGGGGCAAAACAATTCCAGCTGGACACAAGGGCTCCTTGCCCTTGATGTTAGAAGCCTGAGGCGGATGGAACTACACAACTTACCAAAGGGAATGCTGAAGAAGGGGCTGCACAGGGCCTTTGCAGCAGTGGCTCTTTTCGCTTGGTCATCATGAAGCATGCTAGAAGACAAAGGGAGACGTCATGTTTTTGCACACAGCATCCCCACAGCAAAGGCAGTGATGAGATCTGCATTTCAAGTGAGTCTGGAACCTTAAGTACAAACCCCACAGCACATCTGCCCCCTTACAGCACTCACACACATGGGATTTCTGTGCACTCTCTTTTGTCCATAGTCTGAGAATTTTGGCGTTACAAGCACCTTAAAGGGCTTCTTACAGGAGTGTTTGGTGAGTAACTTTTCCAGACTCCTCTACCAAAACTGAGTTTGGAAAGCGACACTTAGATTTTAGCACAGGCCATGTTGATGAGTGGTTTCATTTATACCATCAGTTATAACCATTTCTAGCTACAGGTCCATGATTGAATATTCTCCTACAGATGCTGCCCTATGGCTGCTCCAGAGTCTACCCTTTCATAGTGAGATGGCTGTTTTCTGAAAAGCCTCTGCATATTCCCATTTACAGGATGGCAGGCGACCGTGCCACAGTGACCTAGAACCTTCTGGGGAAAGCTGTGATCACTGGGGCTCACAACACTGGATGCTCAGGGACAGACGTCGATCCCCTCCCCCAGCCTCCTTTTAAGTCCTCTTCCCCATGGGAACTCTGATTCAGCTGCTGCTCAGAGCTTCCCCCACTAGCAGCAGGGAAGTGACATGACTAGAGCTCCATTGCAGCCCACCAGGCAGTCAAGTCAGTTTCTTTGCTGCTAGAGTTATTGATTTACTCTGCTGCTACTTGGGAAAGATCAGAGCCCTCTCCTCTACTAACTTAGGAACTGCAGATGCTCCTATTTGGACCTTATTGACATCACAGGGAAGGCATTTTTCCAAACATGTTTCATCTACTGGCTTAAAGAGATGCTGCCAACGCCTCATCACCATCAATATTTTTATACAAGTTCCCCATCACACCATTCCCCGGACAGCAACAATGGCAGTGCTAGCATAGGCAGGCCACCAATGTTCTCTACACCCACTCTGTGCAGCCCTGCTCACACAGTAATTAGAATACCAGGAGTCAGGCACTCCTGGAGCTGCACTGCCAGCACAACCATGGGAAAGTTTCAGGAGAGTAGGCAGCCTAGACAAGGACTGCAAGACTCCTTGGAATCTGAATGCAAGACAAACCTTTACAAGTAGAATAGTACTGCTTGGAACAGCATACATGTACCTCAGAGTAACATGTAACATTTGCTATTTGCAATATACCTCTTGATAAGGTCTCTGAGGTGATAGGCTGGGATGGCTGAATTTACCACACCTTCACTGGCAAAAATGTGATCAATGATGGCAGAATTGTTTGTCTGGAAAGCAAAAGCAGCCAGGGTTAGAAGGAAAATAAAATCCTGGGGTGAACATTCACCAAAATGCTGAGACTGAGGGGGCATTTCCTATGGGTAGGGCCCTACCAAATTCATGGTCCATTATGGTCAATTTCATGGCCAGAGGGTTTTAAAATTGGTCAATTTTACAATTTCAGATGTTTACATCTGAAATTTCATTGTTGTAATCATGGGGGTCCTGACCCAAAAGGGGATCGGGGGAGAGGGGGTGTCGCAAAGCTGTTGTAGGAAGGTCACAGGATTGCCATCCTCACTTCTGTGCTGCCTGCAGAGCTGGGCTCTGAAAGTAGCAGCCCCAGAGCTTCCTGCAGCAGGAGGAGGCTCCCAGAAGTGGAGGTGAGTCTGATCTCCCAGTGCTGGTGGGAACACCCCAGGCAGGGGCTACTAAAGGCTAGCACTGGCCAGTGGCGGATTAAAGCATGGGTCCTGGCCAATTTGGGCACCCTGAGCTGCAGGTAGGGGGGCAAGCACCAGCATCCCAAGCCATGGGAGGTGGAAGCGCTGAGTCTGGGCAGAAGCTTTGGGGTAGAAGCCCCGAGCCCAGCTACATGGCTGCTGCAGCGCAGAAGTGAGGGTGTACCACACTCACTTCTGTGCTGCCTTTGGAGGCAAGTCTGATCTCCCCACTGAGAGCAGCTGTGCTGGGGAAGGACAAGTCCTGTTTCTCCCCAGCTCAGCCTGGACTAGCAGTTAGGAGCCTCCAGCTGGGAGGCTCCAGCAGAAGGGGGAGATCAGATTTCACAGGGATGAGCTTATTTCACAGTCTGTGACACATTTTTCAGTTCCTTACTGGGAGTCTTTCTGAATGATGCCTACTGCCAAGAGAGGAGCTGGAAATAAAAGTGACCATTTCAGAGCAGAAATGTGGAGTCAGTCAGTCAGACATGCCTTGCAGCACTCTCCTGTCCTCAGTACACTCCTAGAGCTAATAAACAGCCCTACATTGTGAGAGTCGCACTAAAAGCCAGAGAAATGTATTGCTTTGTCACCATGCCACTGAACTAGTTTGCAGAAATGTAACTGATCTATTTCACTTTCCATTCTGGTGTTACACCAAAGCTGGCAGTCTTACAAACAGAGCCAAGATCTAGGCTAAGTCTACATTGCAGAATTGTGTCGACAAAAGTGATGTCGCTCTAATTAAGCCACTGTTGCATATCCACGCTATGCTCCTTGTGTCAGTGAAGCGCATCCACACTAGCAACTCTTGCATTGACACAGAGCAGTGCACTGTGGGTAGCTATCCCTCTGTGCAACTGGCCGCAGGGTACTTTGGGAAGGGTTTGCAATGCCTCCTGGGGCAGGTACAGCATCATATGATGTAGATTTCTTGGCCATCTTGCTAGATTGGCAGCCTCTTTTCAACTGAAGTGTGTGGGGGGGAGGGGCAGAGGGGGACAGTGTGTGACAGGGTGTGTGTGTGTGTTGGAGGAGAGGGAGTGTGCTGGCACGCAGTCTCTAAGTTCCGACAGCCGCCGGAAGCAACCAGTCCTGAGACAGGGGGACATCCCCGACATCAGCCCCCGCCTCCCTCCCTGGCTCTGCACAGCAGTCTCTCTCTCTCTCATGCGCACACACATGCACACACACACGTGCACTCCTGCCTGCCTGCCTCTGTGTGTAGTGCAGGAGACAGCAGCATTCTGTTAATGATTTTGTCTTTGTTGCAGGCATGCTCAGCTGTCAGCATTTCCTGGAGCTTTGAAAAGGGCTTTGCACGGCAGTCGAGTTCAAAACAGTGAACAGAGCGGTCACAGTGGGCATTGTGGGATACTGCGGGAGGCTAGTTCTGGTGATATAATGAACAGCAGCATCTACACTGTTGCTTTGTCACTAAGTTTGCCACAAAAAGCTCTCTGCCTTTCGTGGAAGTGGTTTGATTTTGTCACTGAAACTGAAGAGTTTTGTTGCCAAAAGTGGCATTGCACTGTGTACACCTCCATTGTTTAGTCGCCAAAAGCTGCCTTTTGTCAACAAAACTCTGCAGTATAGACAAGACCCAGTCCTGGAGCCTTAGCATTTCACCCGTCCCACAGTATGAATTCAGGCCCCAAAGAGACATCCCCATACTATGGACAGGTGCAATATTAGTGCTCCAGAACAGTAACTCCCAAGAAGGCTGAAGAAAGAACTAAAGGGATGGTTTCAATGCATTTTCTGGGCATTGGGAATAGCATCATATAAGCAGGATAAAACCAGGGAGCACAAGCTCCTCCAGCATGAACAATGACCCTGGATTTGTGAATCCAAAGAACAGCTTTTCCTCACCTTCCATTCCTGAGATTGGACAGTATGTTTCAGTTTCATTCCTGAGAACATTTCCAGTAAAACGATTCCTAGACTCCACAGATCTACAGCTGAGGTACATTCCGTTTCACTCTGGAGCCCCGCCTGAGCCAGGCAGTTCTGCAGCTCTGCCTCTGGAGCCCGATACCCATCTGTCTGAATGTATTTCACATCCTAAGGAAGATTGAACATAGAATACTAGAACCAAGATTCAGCCAATTCCCTCCCCTCCCCGCCCCCTTATACCAGCTTCTAGAGTCCTTTCCAGATAGGCCGGGGTTCTCAAACTGGGGGTTGGGACCCCTCAGGGGTCAGCGAGGTTATTACATAGGGGGGTCGTGAGCTGTCAGCCTTCACCCTAAACCCCGCTTTGCCTCCAGCATTTATTAAAAAAAGTGTTCTTACTTTATAAGGGGGGGGGTCACACTCACAGGCTTGCTATGTGAAAGGGGTCACCAGTACAAAACTTTGAGAACCACTGAGATGGGCAGCTTAACAAAAGCTTGCTAAATCTCCAGGTGTTAAACAGCCAGCCAAGTTTAGAAAGTTCAGTCTGTTTTGGTAGCCTAGCCAGCAGTTTGGTGAGACACTTTAAGAGAGAACCACCTCCCAGTAAGAAAGCTAGTGGCTCATTTTGACATCAGTGATTTGTATTGGAGATGAAAGTGAAAGGCAGAGCACCAATATCAATGCAAGCAGTGTCATCCTGGACCAGTCCAATGATCTTCTGAACAGATAACCAGTCTCCTGCCAAGGAGAATTCTAGATGCTTCAGAGTAAGGTGTCAAGTCCCCATAATGCTCCTCCAAAAACTAATGCAGTATATAAGGACAGAGAGGACTTCTGGGCCTAGCTCATGATCGGCTTATGTCATAGAGCAGAGAGGACGGATAATGGCTTCTGTTCAAATACTAATATTTTAAAAGCTAAATCCTAAACAAACATCTGTAATATGCAGGCAGGGAACTTAAATATACTTTCCCCCCAGCTCTCCTCTCCCCCTGCAGTCAGAAAAACCTGCAGCAATCAATTCCTGTTCAGCAGCGACAGCTCTGCCTTTTGCTACTGAAGAGAAAGTAAAATGCCTATACGCTGCCTGTTCAAAGAAAAGAGAGATGGCAGCAGAGGAAATAAACTACATGCCTCCTTGCCTTTATAGGGCTGCTCAGGAGCATCGTTTTAGAGTCAAGCCAGGGCATTACAGCAGAAGAGAAGAGTCTGAAACTAAATTCTCCAGGCAAAGTGTGGAGCCAGACAACTTTACCAGGAACCCATTCAAAGAGAATTAATTTCAGTTCAACTAATTGACTGTACATCTCTTGCAGATTTATTCTCACAAAGTGCCTTTCATCCGAAGGAGCCCAAAGTGGCTTGTAAACTTCAAACTGACATACGAGCAGTATAAAAAGATCCCTTCACCCACTCTAAGTGCAGACATGTTTGAAGCAAAACACAGCCGAGGTTTAACCACCCAACTAAACAGCAGCTTAGGGCAGAAAGATAACACTGGCTAGCTAAAACCGAGAGGATACAGGCCAAATATAATTCCCAAATCTGGAATTTAGCCACCTCTGCCATCGGGAAGAGCCAAGATCACTGGTAACCACAAGTGGTCGAGACCTCATTTTACCAGAGAACCTCTCTAAAAGCCCAGCACCCCCTAGCTTTAAGTGATAGAAAGGGAGATATTTTTATTTAAAAGAGGAGAACCATGTCAAAGAGGCCCAAGAGTCAGAAGTGAGGAAATTAAAAATCAGACAAGCAGCCCTAGTGGTCACAGAAGGCACTTACGCACCTAAACAACAGGGGGAAGAGGACAAGCCAGCTTCAGTCTGTTCTCATGGCAAGGCTCGAGGTTATTCAGGTCAACCTGGATGGCTCCCAACACCAAAACCAGGAAATTCAGCCCAGCAGAAAGGTCCAAATACAAGAAGTGAATTAGGATGGTTAAGAAGGAATTAGAGGAGCAAACACGATGGGAAAACCACAACACATTCTGCTAGGCAGAGTAACAAGTCACTAGCACAGCATGGCAGACAGCCACAGGTCCCGAAAGCACTTCAGAGCAAATTGGCCATGCCACTAACTAAAATATGCTCATTAAAATCAGCTACTGTACCAGAGAGCTCAAAGATAGCAAATCAAATGGATGACCTTGGCAATCAGACAGTGAGCCTTGTTTTCAGTACCAGGCCAAGTGGTTGAAATAATTGAATCATAGAACATCTAGATGAACAGGATACAAGAGGGACAAACCACCACCACTTCTGAAAAAGAAAATCATGTCAGTCTTGTCTACTACTATTCTTAGTGGGTGTCAGCCACAAGGTGGATGAAGGAGAACCAGCTGACAGGCAATCTGGACTTCAAAATCCCTCTGACAGACCCCTCACAGGAAGCTATTAAGGAAACTAAGTAGTCCCAGATGAGAGGTAAATTAGTGTCATATGTTAACAGTGAGGTGTCCTATGGCTCCTTAGGAGGACTAGTGCTGTTTAACATATGAATGATCCAGAAAAGGGGCTGCCCAGGAAGATGATGAGATTTACAGATGACAACATGGTTTAACTTAGCTGAGACAAGTAAAGCCTGAAGCACCAAAAGGGGTCTAACAGAGCTGGGTGAATGGAGGCTGCATGGTTTCAGATGAAAGTCTGTGTTGATAAATGCATGGTAGTGCACATCAGGATAAATAATCTGAACTGTCCATACACCGGGGGCAGGTGTGGGTGGGCTCCATATTAATGTTAGGCATATGGAAAAGGAACCAGGGCATCCCTGCAAAGAGCTCAATGAAAATCTGCTCAATGTGAAGCGGCAGTCAAAAGATCAAACAGAATGCGAGGATTCATTAATAGCATCACCCTATCTTGGAAGGCACATAGCAGAAAAAGAGGTCAAAAGATGGGTGAAAACTGAGTGACAGTGGGATTTTCATAGGAGAGACTGAAAAGATGAGGGTTGTTAAGCAGGTGAATAAGAAGGGACATAGGGTAATGGTCGTACATAAAATAAGGAATGCTAGAGGAGAGCCTGTAGATTTATGCACCCCAGTTTACCCTCTTGCACAATACAAGAACAAGGGACTGTCTGTGAAATTGAAAAGCAACACATTTAAAAAAGGCATTTAAACCCAATGTTTAATCACCCTGAGGAATACACAGCCACAAGGTATCAAGAGAAGGATTAGACATTTACATGGATAATGGGAACATCTGCATCCTGTTAGATGAGATACAAGCTCATGTTCCAGGGCACAGGCCAGGCACTAGCTATCTGGGTTTAGGAAGAAACTGACCCTAGGGGCCTACTACTTCCTAGCTGCACCTTCCTCTGAAGCATCTGGTATCGGCCACAATATGGACCACTAGTCTGACTGGGTCTTCAATCCCTACATTCCTACAGAGCTGGACCATTGGCTCAGTAACGATCCACAGAGACGGGTAACCCCTAAAGAGTCACCAGCCCAGCAAATCCACATAGCTGCCGAGAGTTGACAGGATCACAGCACAGTGACATGAAACAGAATTAAGTGCTCCTATAAACGGTGTTCCAAACCTGATTTCCCTCTTTGAAGCTAAGCCCAAAGTCAATGAGTTTAAAGCACTCTTCCTCTGCACTCCACAGGATGTTGCGTGGCTTGAGGTCTGCATGCACATAGCCTTTGTGGTGAAGGAAAGACAGGGCCTCTAACACATCACGGGCACAGTGCTGGATCATCCACATGGAGCAACCCTGATGGCTGGAGTAGAGAAGCAGCTCTGACACGCTGATGTCCAGCAGCTCCAGCAGGAGGCAGCGAGAAGGGCCATTTGCAGAGAAGTGGTTGGTGAACACGCCATACAGCGTCACTGGAATCAGACAAGGGCAAAGCTGGTGAATTCAAAGTGACTCCAAGTTGAGCATCAGACCCGTTCTGCTTCCCTTTAGATCAGTGAGGGAGCGTAGGGAGGCTGAAAAAGAATGTGCTCAGCTGCGCTTGGAAATCCCCCAGCACAGACAGGCCTCTGATGCCTGCCTCTCCCCTCACATGACACCTGCACTGTCGTGGTGGGGAGAGGAAGAGGGAACGGGCTGGTTTTGGAGCGTACAGAGCCAGCCTGCTAACCCTTTTCTTGCTACATTTGCACTTTGGACTCCAAGCAAGGAACCAGCAGATTATTCAAAACTCCTACTGGTTCTGCCAGAGGCTGGATGCATGCTTCATCACTTTTCCCTTCCCCCACCCAGCATGGGCACAGGGAGGCAGGGCATAGCAGCCTGCAGCAGCATATAGGTGGCACCTGGTCTCAGGGCAGACCCCCCTCCACACTGATCTGCTAGATGCTGCAGGATGAAAAGCCCTAGAACACAGGAGGGTACAAAGCACCTCCCAGCTTCAGATCCCAACCTGGCCCAAAGCACAGCCTGCCCACGTGGGGGCCTGGGGCTGATAATTGGAGGCTGTGGATTGGCCTGTCCTTGGTCTGACCTGATTACCACTGCTGCAGTGGACGAGTTGTGCAGAGGGCATTCCCATGCCCAGTGCTGCAGGGGACTGGTCAGTAGCCCTAGGAGGTGACCCTGGCATATTTCCTCAGGCTGCTGTAGGGAGCAGGTGTATCCAGTTCCCCAGGAAGGGGTCCCAGCCCATTTCCAACATTGCAGTGGGGGCCCCCCCATCAGGATGTCACTGGGGCAGGGAGGGTGATGTCCCCATCCTGGCTCAGGAGAGCTCCGGTTAGAGATGTTGCTGGGAGGGGCTAGGGGCCCCAACACAGCCTGGGGGAGGTCCCAGTTACCAACACTGTGGAGGGGGATGGGAGGCCAGGCCAGGGGTGAGGGGGAGCCAGGGTCTCTGTTACTGCTGTGGAGGGGTCCCGGCTCCTGATGTTGCAGTTGGGGCGTGTGTGTCTCGGCTTGGTGGGAGATCACAGGGAATGGTGGGGGGTCCAGGTTACTCATAAACTCAAAGGTCAGAAGGGACCATTATGAATGATCATCTAGTCTGACCTCCCGCATGATGCGGGCCACAAAAGCTGACCCACCCACTCCTGGAAGAATTCTTGATCCCTTGAC